TGTAGATATTCCTCGGCCAATTTGTTGTAGATATTCCTCGGCCAATTTGTTGTAGATATTCCTCAGCCAATTTGTTGTAGATATTCCTCAGCCAATTTGTTGTAGATATTCCTCGGCCAATTTGTTGTAGATATTCCTCGGCCAATTTGTTGTAGATATTCCTCGGCCAATTTATTTGATGAGGATTGAGAGATTATCAAAGGATGATTGTCCCGCCACTTTGAGAGAAACAGAAAGCTCTGCCATTTCGAGGGAGCTTGACACAATATTCTGCTATCTCTGTCGACAAAAATAAAAAGGCTGCACTTGATTCTGTCGAACTAACTGCGATTTTTGTTAATCCAATAGTCCTTCTTTAGCATGTACCCAATCGGATCGATTAGGAAATTCAACGCGAATTTAATAGCCATGTTATGCGAGACCATTGAAATCTTGCAAAAGAAGAGAATCCCCTGCTTTTTGATCGCCCAGTGTATCTCTTTGCGCAATACTCAATTTGGTCCGGTCTACTTTGACAGGCAGGATAGCATCTTTAGGGTTGCGAAATCTCGATGATGCTATAAAAATCATCGCCTGACATTTGTGAGTCATCCTTCAATTGGAAAAGTGTAAGCTCAGACTGGTGTCGAGATAAGTGTCGCTTATATCTCGGCAGATCGGGCTCTGATGCATGAGAAAACTAATATAGAATGGGACCAAACTTTAACTTAGAGGGTGAATCCGCATTCGTTTGGAGCTCTCTTACACGTGTGTAGTGCTCAGACGACAGCATCCTGCATTCCCGGTTAATTGAGGCATTTAAAGGCCAAAAGACAGTCCATTCAAACTACACCTTGGGTGTTTTCCCATAACAAGGAAAAATCCATTTTAAAACGTCAAGATTTCAAAGGAAAACTCGTTGCAGAGGCTCATCAAATCTTTACAATAATCCATGGGGGTTCTTCGCACCTCAATAGCCGTCTCCATCTTGAGCTTTTCGTTTCAAGCGGAAAAAATAGCTCGCACAGATATCCCATAAGACACAGTCAGATCGTAACACCGCGTAGATATTTACAAATACCAAAATAAAGATCCCAAGATTTGGGATGAACCAACGAGCAACAATTTCTTCGAACTATGACGACCTGATGGCTAAATTTCCCAGTTTTGATTGGTCATTTCAATAATTATTTCATTTAATAATACCCGATTGGATGCAAAATTTCCGGTGCAAAACAGTCTATAAATCGCTAGTTTCTTTTTCGCCAAACTTTTCACCTCGATGAGCCCGCAAAAATTTATGTTTCTCATAGCTTTCATTATCTTTTAACTGTCCTAAAAGGCAAATATAGAAGCGATGTATATATTCTGGCTCATATCAAAACTATAGACGAAGGGAAATACTACACATTTATGTCTGAGCTTATGACAGAGCCGATGCCAAGCCCCATGCACAAGACTATAGAGAATTCTATGCAATCGCCAATTTAAGAGTCGAAAGTATAGAAGCATACGCCAACGTCACGGCCAACGCCAACGTCAACGTCAACGTGAAGGCCAACGCCAATATAAATCTCGGAAAAGAAGCTGATACCAAAAATAAACGCAAAGCCAAATTAGAACCCCATGTCAGACAGCATATCAACGGTTATCTGAAAGCAATATCAAGAGGTAAATCAGAGATCTATCGCAGTTTTAAATTGAACTTCAAAGCCGAAATAAAACTCAAAACCAAAGTTGAAGCCAACTCCAGACCTAAAGTCAAAGCGGATAAGACAGCCATAAGCAAGCTAAAATCGAGGAAGAGCATCAAATATTCTGGTGTAGATGACTCTGCAGGACCAAAATATGGTAAACTGGAACAAGCTGAGTTTGAAGTGTGAAAGGAAATAAAACCAGTTGATATCCCCACTACCAAATACCCCCTCCAACTCAGCAAAATAAGGAAATTGCAACGTCAGCAATCAGATGGCCAGAGTTATTTTTCGTGCCTCCACATTCTGTTGTGCCCTGCGTCCAAAGGGGCCCGGATACCTCAAAATGTGCCCGTAAAAGTAAACCGTATTTTTATTGCGGCACCTTCTAGCCAGGGGCTAGGGTTAGGGAGAGTTACTAGCGAGCTGATTCGAAAAACTTGCTAGTTTGACATTTTAAATTGAAGCTGAAAACCAAAATATGGGTTAGGGTTGGGCGAAAGTTATACCGCATGCATGCCAACGTAACATTTTTAATGTCTAGTTCGGCTTCGCTGGAGCAGGTTTCCAAATTTATTGCTTCTGATAACATGAAGGATATTATCCCCAAACTGGTGTTCTTACAAAAGCACAAGTCACTTTCTGAGGAATTTATTGAGAATGCCAAAAATCTTGCGCTCAAATCATTGACGGGGGTGTCTAACCCCTCTTCATTCAAGTTTGCTGGGATCAGATCTTCCTTGCTGATCTTGGTGTCAGTGTTTGGTAGCAATATGCTTATCAGAAAAATATATGCGGTATGTGGCATTTTATTACTAACTTGTCTGTAGTGGATAACTGCCGATCAAGAAGCAAGACTATCGAAAATTGCGTCGCTTCATCTATTATTGTCATCCACAAAAAGATCACTATCGGCAGGATTTGAAAATCACCAAACAAATCTTATCACGGAGGCACTTTGTGGACTCGAAGAGAGCATTTCTACAGCCGATTTAACCCCTCCTCAGTGTTTCCAAAAGAAGAAAGAGGATCTGATTAGGGCAGTCAAGCGATTGTCTTCCACTATTGTATGCATGGAAGATCAAGTCCGGCAGCAAAGATTTTATATTCCAGACCGACAAATCCTCGCTCATATTAAGCAAATCAAATCGGACATTTTGCGCCGGAGAAGGATGACGTCGTTGCCTCGACTTGTTGGGCTGTAAATAAAAAGAGCATACCAACCATCTACCATTGCTTCCTCGTACTTATTTCAGTGTTTACCTATTTCCRTGGATTCATCTCTAATTCGCAGCTTTATTTAGAGCGACGGTAGCCTGAGGGGCATATATCCATTCCTTATTATCCAACGGGCAAACTTTTCTCGTTTTTAGCCATCGAGATATACAATGATTATGAAAAGCATGGCTACACTGGCCCCAAGCGACAACGCACTCATCACTTGGCGTTGATGATGGATTGCTCATCTGAGATGCCTGTGTATCCTGTGAGGAGAAGCGTACGCCTTGGGAAAGGATGTTTTCATCGACAATGCCAGATGAAGATGTAGCCGTTGATTGGCAATCAATGCACAAATCCATAATATGATTTCTGCATATAGCGCAATTGTCAACAGCGATATCTAGAGATATTTCAAATTGAAGGATATACCCCACGACCATAGTGCCACTGCATGCCACTAGTCTTGATAAAAACAACGCCAGTATACCTTTTTTATCTCGAAACGAGGCATCGGAACGGAGGGGGACTCGTCCATCCAATTAAAATTAAAATCGCCAAAATCGTAATTTGCGCTCAAGTTTTAGGATTTGCCCAATCATACCGCGGGAGGGACCGGTCGCGTTCTTTGTAATTTTGGCCGCGAAATCAGAGGCAAATGCGGACATGGCAAGCAGACAAATAAGCATTCAGCCAATCGAAAAAGGAAGCGCCGATTCATCGCATTCAATAACAGACGCCTAGGGCTATTCAAAAAGGCAAACGAGTCTAGCTCTCTTTTTCGATGCCAGCTGATGACAGTGTTATTCTGCAAAGGTCGCGTATGCCAATTTTTGTCAAGAGACTGCAGTGTCACTGCGCTAATGCTGAGGTATATCAACGAAACCAGCGAACGTTCAATTTTTCAATAAAATTACAATTTGCCCCTTTTACACACCTCCCGATGAAGATCGATTCGCTTCAAACCCTTGCCCTTCAGTTGGAAGTGTTGGTCCAACTGAAAGAGTGTTTTTTGGTTTTTGAGGAGTTTCGGACTTGCGTCGCTGAAGCCCAGCAAGATGGCCATTGCGATTCCAGTGATGGTGACAATGTTGGAGGTGCCGCGGATCAGAAAAACAGACCCGTTCATAGTATCCTGGATCCTCTGATATTTTCTTCTGATGCACAGAAAATCTTCAAGGGCCTTTCCTTGCTTGAAAAGATTGTTGTCGCCATTGAGGGCTCCGAATTGTCAAACGTCAAAAGTGCAGTTGCCAAAGCAAAGAAGTACAGTTTCCACGTTGAAAATTTCCTGATGGCCGAATTTATCGAGGCAATCCAAAATGTGCCGATGAACTTTGACTGGGCAAAAGTTGATGCGTACCTTTCACTAGCCTTTAGGTCACCTTAGAAGCCTTATGCATCCTCAAAAGGGAAGTGAAGGCTATAGAATTTTTTGTCAATAACCACCCTATTTTCGCGGAGCTGGATGAGTTTTCCAAAGACGAGGTGGCCATTCTGGGCTCCCTTTCACTGGTCGATTCAATCTCCTCGATCATTACGAGAATCTATTTTGACGACGTTTCGTTTCTCGAAATCCCGCCTCTTTTGGAGCTTTTTGCATTCATCAAGCGAAGGCTGCTAGAGACACATCTGCAAGTGATTTCGACTCTTTTCAGCCAGAGCAAGATTGCTGCGGTGTTTTTCCAGCTTCTTGAGCGAGTCGTATTTAGAAAAGTAATGGTTCCATTTTTACATCCAGATTGAGCCAGTCTTACAAACCATACTGAAGGTAGCATCCGGGTGTGGGGACACCGTATTTCTGTACATTGTCGATGGGGCATACCGGACATTTCAGTCCGGGCTTGAAGAGATTTTTCATCTGTGCACCTCCCATCTGGGCTATGACCCCCAGTTTTCTACCCATATTTCTTATAGAGTTTCGTTATGCATGGAGGATCTTTTTTCGATGCACTTTAAGCCCGTTTCCATTATAACCAAAGAGAAAGAGTCTCTTGAGCATTTGTATCGAATTTTGCTAGGCGACATGCACTTTCACAAGGTAGTGGCTTGGAATTAAAAAATCCTAGAAACCATCTGGCACGTTTTCCGATCTATTTGGCAAGGAGAGCTCTTCTTCGCCCCAATGGACCACTTGCGAGTGTAAAACAGAGCTCATTGACCAAAAAGAGCTCGCTCGATACTGGATTCGAGACATGCCCCTGGCAAGTGTAAAGTCGGACACGGACGGAGGCGAGTATAGCCTGCTTTTGTCATCGAACATTTCCTTTGTCATCAGTGACTCGCTGGTAATTTTGAAAAAATCCATCTCGCGAGCGTCGCATCTTGTCGTGAATTTTGAACTACTGGGGGACATTTTTGAGACGCTGTTTATGACGTGGATTTCTTTTCTCGGCGATTCGTTTCTTATTCCGATCCTTTATGGGTAGGCGAAACCGGCTATTGAGACTCACGTGTTAGGCTCAAGCATTTTATCTACGCAAGCTCACGAAAACCATCGCCGGGAAATGCAGAGAGCACGGTCTCCAAATCCGAAATTTTCCAGTCCTTGATGCCGCAGATGAAATTTCTGTTCAAAAAGCTAAAAAGCATCTCGGGAGCCTGTCTGCAGTTCCAGCTCTTTTTTCAGAGTCACGCCGTACGTATTTTGCGGGGTTTCCGATTTGTTTAGGTAAACATTCCAACCAATGCGCTGGAAAGTCTCATTGGCGAGAAAAACAAGTTTCTCGGCGCTGCAGAGCTCCTCATTAACGCGACGCTATCATCGCTTTTAGAAGGCACGTACACATTTGCGCAATTTTCTAGTGTTTCTCTACCAAATCAAACAGGAGCTTTCATGGCAAGTTTCACTTGGAGACTACTTAAAAGAGACAAGCATGGCGCAAATGAACCTGGGAAGCCCGACTTGTGTAAAAATATGTAAAATGCTAAGCGAGGTGTCGATCCTGATATTTGACTCTGTCGGGCTGGTAAACGGCCAGCTTGCATCGAGACAATTCATTCTTAAAATAATCCGGTACTCGAGCATTCAACTATGTCATAGAATGCTGGCACTCCACTTGATGGCTGTTAAAGTCAGCCAAAATGGGGCTATCCTATTGATATGGTAAAAACAGGAACCAGGCATAACATTAGGGATTTAAACGAATATGCAACGGCAATTGAGGCCTTTCGCTCATGTGGAGAGTCTTTGGATTCTTTTAGATCTCTTGGACAGCTGTATGTGGTCAATGCCGAGGCGCTTGCAGATCTGCTACGAGGCGAGCCATTTTCAAATATCAGCAGGGAATCTTTGAAGGCGTATGCGGGGAGCAGGGCCGATTTCAAGAAAGCCGGCCTAAAGATGCTTTTCCGCTGACTTGAATAGCAAATTGCGGCTCCGATGCGTCCAAATAAACGGATCTTTTAGATGGCCAAATATCCGCATCTAGTCTGACATGGCATGGGTCTCGCTTAGCGACCAATAGTGGTGCGCACAATACATTTCAGCAAAATATTCCATTATAAACATCGTGAACACGAAATTGCTTTTTCGAGTTTATTAGGGGGGGGTTCCAAGTAAAATTGCATCACTTGTAGCTTTTAATTGGCCGATTTTATAAAATTTGCCCTTTTAATAAAATTAATTTGGATGGTCCAATAGCTGGAGCGAGGTATGACTAATTTTACTTTACTGATGTTGCATGATGCACCTGCCAAAGCTGGCCAGGACATTTACCGTCAAGCCAAAAGTCCACAAGATGACGCGATGTCTTCTGCCGAGCAGTTGAAAAGCGCATACAAAAATACAACCGCACCAAAGGACAAATGGAAGGTCAACTATTACATCTTTTTTTTCGTCGGGTTTTCATCCCTTTTTTCGTGGCATATTTTTATTAAGAACTCTTTTTTCGAGGAGCGTTTTGCATCAACCATTTTTGCCACCACCTTTAGCAACTGGATTGCCAGAGTTTATATGGCCACAAATTTGCTTGCAATGGTTTTTTTGATGTTGCTTCCAGAAAGACTCAAGGGCTCCAATAGCCTACGTGTTTCGTTGTCTTTTTTAGGAAACGTGGCCGTGTTTCTAGCAATGACTGTATTGCCTCCTTGCGAATGGATTCCGGACACAACGTATTTCTACATCACGCTTGTCTGTGCCGGCCTTTGTGGGTTCTTTGGCGGTGTGCTTCAAAGTTCTCTTTTTGGAATGGCGTCCGGATTTCCAAGCAGCTATGTGCAGGGCATTATGGCCGGCCAAGGGCTTGCCGGAATGGTGTCTTCTGTAATTTTGATGGCTGCAAACATTCTTGCTGGCGACAGCATCAAGTCTCCACATGAAATTGCGATCAACGCGGCTCTTTACTTTGGACTTTCGCTTTTTTTCATCGTACTTGGATACATATCGTTCATGTATGTACAGCGTCTCGAGTTTTTCAAGTTCCATTCCACCATGTCTGCGGCACCGGGAGCGGACCTCGATTTGTCGGATGAATCTATTCAGCCGCCTCAGCAGGGCGGAATTTTTTCCATTTTCACAAAGATGCCCTCGGCGCTGTATCCGCCTGCTGTATTTTTTGTGCTTTTCATTACGCTTTCGGCGTTTCCGTTTATTTTTAGCAACATCACCTCGTCCTCAAAGTCGGACTCGTTCTTTTTCAGGAAGCTATTCATATCTACCGGATACCTGCTTTTTGACGTCGGAGATTACATCGGAAAATCCATGCCAGCATTTGGGCTTTTCTACACCAAATCGCACGTGTTTATTCTTTCCTCTTCTCTTTTAAGAGTGGTGTTTATTCCACTTTTCATGTTATGCAATTTTAGAGATCACCCGGACTTTAACGCAGCCCTGAGAATATTCTCTTCAGATGTTATCTACTTTTCGCTTGCACTGCTGTTTGGGCTGACAAACGGGTACATTTGCTCTCTTCTATTCATGAATGCGCCTCGAACCGTTCCCGAATATCTTCGCGAAAAGATGGGGGCCATCATGCCCTTCTTTCTTACTGTTGGTCTGGCTCTTGGGCCGTTCTTTGTCGGAATAATCAGCCTTTTCCTTAAGAAATAAACATGCGCTATTTTAAAAGCCCAATTAATGATTTCTTCTTTTGGGCAACTTGGCAGCACAGCAGCGCCAAAGAAAACGGATCGTTACAGCAAAAGCAAAAGTTTGTAAGCCTGGAAATCAAAAGTGCCATCTATTGTTGAGTTAAGAAAGCCGCTACATGCACCAGTTCGTTTTCTTCAAAGTTTCTCAATGTGTCTTGAAAGGTGTCGTTGTCGTTGTCGTCGCTATCTTGGGACGGGTTTCGGTCCGGTTTATGCTGCCCACCTTTGCAGGTACAATTTTGCCTGCCACTGTTATCTGGATGCTGTTGGTGACGGCTGGAATTGTGCTTTTTTTTGCCGCTACGTGCACGTGTTCCAGTATTTTCAATAGAACAAGCCCTGCAGTTTCACGGCTGCAAAACGACATGTAATATTTCGTCAGGACGTGGGAAAGTTGGAATTCAATAAAGTCAATGTACTGAATATAAAAAAAAGGATCCACGGTTTTTTCTCTGAAAACTAGCACAATATGAACGGTATGGTCTTCGGAAAGAAAAGAGAACCCCTTTGCGGGCGGTAGTTTCAATTCGGTGGCTTCCAAGAGCAGAATAAAGTCTCGAGGCGAAGCTTGCAGCAAGGCAACTTGTGCTGGAAATCCCGTTGGAAAGAGCTCTGAATAGAATAGAATTACAAATTGCGGATGGCCCTTCATGAACGAGTAAAGCAGAGGCAGAAAGATGTTCTGGCCACACACCAGGTTGCATATGATCCTGGTCGTTTTCAACGCCATTTTGTTCTGCCCACCAATGCGCCTTCGTTTTGGCGGTTCAAAGATCTCGGCTCCTTCAAAAGTGCGAGTGCTAAGCCCCTCGGGTATCGTTAGTGAAGGGCAACCGTGGTGGGGCACAACCCCCTGCTGTATGGACACAACATCTTCGATCGATGAGACCAGTAAATCCGAACATGATGGCCCGTTGCTTTTCTGCTCCACATTTAGTTGCAAATCGCTGCTAGTTTTGTGGTCCAAATGGTTACCGACCAGTTGGCCATACTGGAAGAATTTAATTAGCGAGCAAAAATCTGGTCCGCTGCGCCCACGGGCTTTGAGAGGAAATTGAACTTGACGCTTGAAGTCAAGAAGCTCCCTATTGATGGTAACCCTAAAACACGGATCAAATGCCACACGGGGTTTCCATGAAGCACGGCCGAATAGGGCAATTCGTAGTTTTCGAAGGCAATTCTTTGCCTCCACGCGTTGGCTCTTTATGTGCAAGTCTGCGGCCGGGAAAGTTTGCACCGTACATAGATTGCATGCAGATTTCTCCCTTGGTGATATTTCCTGCCATTTTGGGGCTGAACAAAGCTCGAAGGGGTTGGTCCGAGATACACCGCCTTTTTGTTGACACCGTTCGGCTTCCAAGGAAGGGCTGCAAAGCGAGGGCGCTTTAAATAGTTGCATGTGCCGGAAAAGGCCGTCAAAAGAGTGCCGGACAGCAGTTTTTGGCTGCAACGAAAATGTTTCACTGCCGTTGAGGGCATTTCCCTCCATTCTATCGTTGTATGGCGTCGGTCTAAGCCGGCGAGGAAGGTCTTTTGGGGGAGAACGGGATGGCTCCATCTGGAAGGACGATGATTTAGCATTGAAGTTGCCATAAAAGCGAGGGACCATCTTTTCAATGTCAAACGGCCTTGGACAATACGGCACGTGATAGCGAGACAAAAAGCTCTCGATCCCAGATGCGCGGCAAGCGAAAACATTGGCACCGGGTCTATGTAGCACTGACATTGTGTCCGTGCACGAAATGGTGGAAATCAGCGAATCGATGGTGTCCGGACAAATGTCCTCCTCACGGGCACCATCGATTGCGGCCGAAATGGAGCCAAGCACACGTGATCCCAGCGTTTCAAGACGATTCGCCTTGCGAGTGGCAAACACGTAAAAGGGCTCGCATTCATCCATACATAAATGAAGCATGCTTTGCGGCCCCAACCCTACCAACACATCATGCTTTGCGGCCCCAACCCTACCAACACATCATGCGCTGCGGCAAATCGGCCAATGCAACATCGAAGATGACATGCAAAACAGCGGCATTAAAATGCAATTTTAGGTTTATTCAAAATGCAATTTTACGTGCATCGAAAATGCGTCTAAAGATGCCTCCAAGGGGTCGCATTTGCTGGCCATCAAAGGGACATCTCTATGAATTGATCGAGACGCGAAGTAAATATAAGAAAACTGCTTTGGTAACTACAGCACATTAGAGCATAATGTCGGGCTTACAATTGCAAGATGATGCCTGTTTCGTCGGTTGGATCGTGGGCCCACTCGATTCGATTTTCGCACATTTCCTCAAACTCGTCGCAATTTACGAGGGCAATCTCTTTGACCAAATTGATAAACCGATAGTTGGAAATCAGGACTTCCAAGAGCTTGTCCATCAGCCCCCCAAGGCTTTCTTTGAGCTCTGTTTCCTTCAAACGTGCAAAGATCGCGGCAGCGGTATAAAAGTCCTGGGTCTCAATGGCCTCAATGTATTTTGTCCACTCGTCTGACAGGAAAAAGTTTCTGGCCGGGTGAAAAACATTTTTTGGGCTGTCACTCTTGGTTTGCACCAACACAAGTGCAATCGGCCTGGAAAGGATAAAATCGTTGAGCTCGTCTTCGGAGGTCACAATGGCCACGCTAGCTAGAAGCACGCCAAATAGGGCAAAACACACAACAAACAATGGCAGGATTCTCATACAAAGTATCGCTACAAGAAGACAGTAAATGCCATTGATGTGTGTGATATAAACAGTGGATGGTTGCCAAATCAAAATCTGGCACTGATCAATTTGAACCCGTGCTATTGAAAATTGCTGCAGGTCCATTGTTTGTTTGGCCAACATTTGACTGACTGACTGATTGCAGACATGTAAGCGAGTGCAGGCTTTTAATTGGCTTATCAACAAACTGAGATGTTTATCTTTCCAATGTTAAATACGAACTGCCCTTAAAGTTTATTAAATTCTGCAATCGGTATGTACAATATGCTTTCAAAGATTGGCATGTTTACGGGCTAAGCACTGCTTCTGTCGCCGGTGGCATACAAATGCTGCGTTTTCGACGGTACTGGTGCAAGCAGCGATCCAAACCTCTCCTTCAAGTGCGAAACACGGCTCGCGATTTCGGATGGAAATAGAAGCGGGTCGCTTGTGAGCACCTTGTATTTGAAGGCATCAACAGCGCCCCTCAGGGCCGACGCATTGGACGCAAGGATGGGATGATTGAGCCTTGCAAGCAAGTAGCCAAGCTCGTCTTTTAGCGAAAGCGTTGACTGTTTGTTTGTCTCCTCAATGCCATCTACGCAATCGATGATGGCGTTGTAGCGCACAGATTCGGTTTCGCCATCAAGGCTCTTTTTTTCGCCTTCATCTTTATGGCCATCGTTCGCAATGCTATCCACGTCGAGCCGAACTTTAAGCGTGGCCGTCATTCCTCTTGCATCGTAGAAAGAAATGGTGGAAAGAAAAATTGCAGGGATCGAAGCATCAGAAAAATTCTCGTCAAATTCACCACTGCTCGGCTGGGCTGCTTTCGCCCACGGAGCAGGGTCTTCTGGGCATGGGGATTGCATTGGGCTATCTGAAAATAGACATGATGGCGAGGGGTTAGCATAGCTAGCATGTGGAGAATGGGGCGCAGCATATTGCGGCGCACATGCCAGAGCAGGATCATGTGCGTGAGAATATTGAATGTGGGATTGGTGTTCGTAATGCATTGCCCTATTTGCAATCACATATGGCGCCGAATCTGCACGCCGCCGCAGCGTGCCATTAAGGAGCTTCTCTTGACGCAATACCCTTCTGGAGCGGGAAACATTAAATCGGTTCCGATACGAGTCCACTGCCCGCTGAATGAGCCCCCGCTTTCCCGCTAACGTGTCAAGGTTAATCCATGTCAGCCTCCATGCAATGTCGTTGACAGAGGTCTCATATTCGTATCGGTTGCCCTTATATTGCGACCGGTCTCCCATGGCCCGTCGGTAGACGCAATTTTTTAGCTTGAACGATTCGGGCAGCGAGTCGGAGGCAATCGAATCAATGTCCGCCTTGATGCAATATTCCTGCAAGGCACCTCTGGAGGAGTAAACAAATCTCAAAAGAGACGGCCCTGCACACGAGGCATACTCTCCCCCTGTGGCCACATTGATCATCATTGAAAGCTTATCCGGGGTCTCGATAAGGGCATTTCCCCCGGCCTCCTGCAGTCGACTGGAGTGTGGAATCACGTGGCGGTCCAGAAGACGCTTCTTGGAGATGGCATCTGTCGATGCAAGCCGCTTGAGTTTGCGCACGTTCCGACCAAGTTCGATAAGTTGCTCGGAAGAAAGAAAAGCCAACACTTCCTCTGCAGAGCCTTGCAGCAATCGCGTCAGAGCCAAAGCAGAAAGATGAGCATCTTCTGTGGTTTGTGCAGCTCCCTTTGCCATGGCTTCGGAAGAGCCAGCATGTGGGGTGAGGCTCGTTTGCGGCAAATGAGAACCAAGTGCTGCCGATGGAATTTGCGGTGAAACCTGAGGAGCCATCTGATGGGGCAAATGCGCTGCCGTTGCATAGCGATGGTAGGAGGGATCGATCCAGCCGCTATGGCCATCATCAGAGGCAATTTGAACATGATTTGAATGGTTGGGTATGACTATTGCACGGGAAAAGATATGCTCGTCGCTGATGTGGGGGACATTATTTGCGATGTGGTGATTGGTTTTAGTGTTACTGTAAATCATGGGCTCTTCTTGCTCTACAAGGGACCCTGCCTGTTGTGCAAAATTTTTTTGCTAATTTTATTTATTTTAATTAAAATTCAGGCCACAATGCAGTTGCATTGAAGAAATTCGCCATTGACATGCCGATGGACGTGCCCCGTGCGTGGCCACGCTAGGTCTCAGCGTGGCGCGGCATGCGCGAGGCTGACACTCTAAAACGGGGTTAGGTTATTTACATGCTTGCTGCCAGCGGTGGGCTACATCCATACCCGATCACGCGAGTTCCAAAAGCATTTCAGTTTATTTATTAGCAGCAGCCATGCATAATGCTGCTACTTGGAGGCCGCCATCTCTTTGGCAAGATCGTTTGCCTTTTTGGTGGCATCGTCTATGTTTCCGACCATGTAGAAGGCAGCCTCTGGCAGATGGTCATGCTTGCCCTCAAGGATTTCCTTGAACGATCTAATTGTATCCTAGCGGTTGGAGCCAAATAAACTTACCGCAAGCTTGACATAGCGACCCTCGAATCCCGTAAATACCTGTGCCGTTGCAAAGGGCTGCGAAAGAAACTTTTGAATTTTTCTGGCGCGCTCAACGGTCAGCTTGTCTTCCTCAGAAAGCTCGTCCATCCCCAAAATGGCGATGATGTCCTGCAACGATTTGTAGTTTTGAAGGAGCTTCTGCACATTGGTTGCCACATTGTAGTGCTCTTCGCCCACGATTCTCGGGTCCAACATCCTCGAATTCGAATCCAAGGGATCAACGGCAGGATAAATGGCCAGTTCAGAGATAGCACGGGACAGCACCGTTGTGGCATCAAGATGGGCAAAGGTAGTTGCCGGGGCAGGATCTGTCAAATCGTCAGCGGGCACATAGATGGCTTGCACGGAAGTGATGGATCCCTTCTTTGTGGTTGTGATTCGCTCCTGCATGGCTCCCATGTCGGTAGCAAGTGTCGGCTGGTATCCTACGGCAGATGGGATGCGTCCAAGAAGTGCGGAGACTTCAGAACCTGCCTGCGTAAACCTGAAGATGTTGTCGACAAACAAAAGCACATCTTGTCCTTCTGTGTCTCGAAAGTACTCGGCAACCGTCAGTCCCGTCAGCGCCACACGGGCGCGCGCGCCAGGGGGCTCGTTCATCTGCCCAAAAACCAGCGCAGCTTTGGACTCGTTCGCCTTATCGCCCAACTTTATCACTCCCGTGGCAATCATCTCATGATAGAGGTCATTTCCTTCTCTTGTTCGCTCGCCCACTCCTGCGAAAACGGAAAAGCCTCCGTGGCCTTTCGCTACATTATTGATTAGCTCCTGAATGAAGACGGTCTTTCCCACACCGGCGCCTCCAAATAGTCCGATTTTGCCACCTCTCGCATATGGTGCCAAAAGATCCACCACTTTGATGCCGGTTTCGAGCACCTCTGGTGTTGTCGATTGGTCGACAAACTCTGGGGGCAGAGCGTGGATGGGCGCCGTTGTTTTCGTTAAAATTGGACCGCGTTCATCAACAGGCTCTCCAATCGCATTCATAATGCGCCCAAGCGTTTCAGGGCCAACAGGAACCCGAATCGGCGTGCCAGTGTCAACGACACCCTGGCCTCTCATCAAGCCCTCTGTACCATCCATGGCAATGGTTCTGACCGTATTTTCGCTATCAAATAAGATCCATCAGCTTACCCAAGATGTTGGGCAACTTCGAGCACAAGTCTTGTGGAATGGCCCTCCACCTCCAACGCATTTAGGATACTCGGAAGCGAAGACGAATCGAATTGCACATCCACAATGGCACCAATGATGCTTTTAATCTGCCCTCTTGAGGCTACGGCCGCATCCCGAGCCACAGCCCCTGCTGGCATAGCCGAGAAAAGCCGCTTGGCCGTGCAAGAGGATGAGAGGAAAAAAGATCGCATGATCATGGAATTGATACGGGTTTACAAAAATAAAATCGTCAGCGATTGATGATGGAATTGTTGCACAAGCAATTCGCAACCTTTAAATTTTAATTTGGGATATCCGGCCAATGAACAAACTCTGTAGATATGTTCGCCCGTGTCGATCCGTAGGCCGGCTGTGCTTCGCCACAACAACGTCCAGCACAGCAGAAAGCGTCCTCCGATTGACATTAACATCGCCGCACAACACGTATTTCAAGGCGACACCCATCAAACAGGTACTGTAGCACCGTCAACCAAAGGCCAACATAGAGTCCACCACGGGCGCCATGGGTATCTTGGCAGCACACGTGCCTACCATCCAGCAACTGGCACCCGGCCTGATTGAAATTTTCCCCATCGAAGGTGACCAGAAATCGCAGACCAGCTCGTCTGTGAGCCCAACCCCAATCTCGGCCACCAAGTTCTTCGGTATCTGTTCTCTGATTTCTAAAAAATAGCCAGCGGTGGGTTTGCCGTCATGAATCCGGACTCATCGCTCGTTATCTCTGCATCTGAGGTATGGCCGCTGTCAGCGTTCGTGCCAGAGGTACCTTGATCGGCTGATTTTAGGTTGTCGAACAGCTCAAGGAAAGGACAAGTATCCATCTTGCCCAGGTGTCAACTGAAATTGACAAGACCACTGCCGCCATTGCACTTGATCTTCTCACGAAGCTCTCTGCAGCGCTCTCCTCAAAATAAAGCGGTGCTAAAAATAGCGAGCATAAGATGCATGATGCCGATGCATGTATTTGGTAAAAAGCGGGGGAAGGCAGGCGAGGGTTCACTCACCACTTGAAATTTAAACGGTGAAATTTCAAGTGCAAATCACCTTTTTCGTGTGAAAATTCGTCCATTAGCTTCACCTATTATGCATTGCCTTCAATGTCATCTGCAATGTGTACTAGACATCGAATTAATCGATGTGCACATGCTGATGTTGATGATCAGTAAAGCCGCTTACTGGTTAAAATTAAGTAAAATCGCTTGAAATCGGCCAATCACAGGCCATTTACGTCTCACGGCACGGATCGCAAAATGCGAATCATTAAACTTTCAACAATTGATGGGAAATAGATCACTTTGGATCTTATCAAAAAAATCATCGGAATCAGTTGTAATCAAGACGCCGATCACTAGCATTGAATAAAGTGTCTGGGATTCGCGCGAATTCAAATACTCATCGCAGTAGATCCCATATTTTGTTAGTAATCCCACCAACCATAAATGACGTCGTCGGTTTTGGCCAGCTGCGAAAACTTGAAAAAAAATTACAATCCTTCCGCCAATCACAAGTCAAAAGTCTCTCCTTATCACGAAAGGCCCATTCTATGTACCGCTGCTGTAAACAAATCGGACTCTACCTCTGCCGTGGTAAATACGACATCAGGGAATGTCACACCACCGGGATTTCGCTACATCCGCTCGTTGGGCAGGGGCTCTTATGGGCGTGTAGAGCTCTGTCAGAACACCGCAACAGATGCATTTGTTGCCATCAAATACATCAACAAAAGCTTTCTTTGCACGCACAGGCAGCTAAACCGCGTGCGAAGAGAAGTGCGCATCCTAACGCTGCTCGAGCACCCACACATCATCCAGCTGAAGGGCGTCATTGAGACACCCGAATCAATCCTGATGGTGCTTGAATATGTCCCGCATGGCGAACTCTTTGAGTTTATTTCTGCACGTGGTCACCTGACAAACATGGAGGCACTTGTTGTGTTCAGGCAGCTGCTCTCTGCCGTCGCTTATTGTCACGCCAACTGCATTATCCACCGGGACTTGAAGCCGGAAAACATTCTTCTTGGGCGTGACCTCTCCGTTAAAGTGGCCGATTTTGGGTTTGGGGCTGTTTTTGGCCATATCCCGCTTCTGTCGACCTTTTGTGGATCGCCACACTATGCGGCTCCGGAGATGCTCTCTGGCACGCCCTATTGTGGCCCAGAAGTAGACATATGGAGTCTTGGGGTTATTCTCTTTGTAATGCTGACCGGAAAGCTTCCCACTCATGACTCTTCCCCACATTCGTTGAGAGAAACACCCTCTTTTCCACTGGTAGTTTCCGCCACCGAGGCAAGTCTCTGTTCTAGTTCTGCAGATTTGCTCCGCAGAATCTTGGTGTCTGGTTCGAGCAACAGGGCAACACTGGCAGAAATTCTCGCCCATCCTTGGGTTCGTTCCGTAGACATAGATCTTCCCTACTCTTTCATTCCATATCGCGAGCCAATCTCCGAAAAAAATCTGAACACAGAAATTGTCTCCTATCTTTGCCAATCTGGCTATGATGAAGAGAATATCCGGCGGATACTTATACAGAAAGAACCGCACCCACTCAAGGCCGAATACTATCTTTTAATGGAGCGTGACACTCCTAAAATACTCTTGTCATCTTCAAAGACACACTCGTCGCCAAAAAAAGCACATCAATTAATTTCGATGCCTTCGTCACCGCCTATGATTCATAATCGACGCTATTCATTGGAGAGCTCATTTTCGGCGGGGACCAGAGACCGGTCTGTCAGCCCCGTGCGGAGGTTGCTGACACGCGTATCTTCGTTTTTTACCTCTTCACCGAGCAGACAAACCCCGACGGAATCGATATTCAAACCGCTTGTGGAAGCCTCTTCGTCAACGCGCGAGAGACGTTCTTCTATGCCTGGGCTACCTGTATATATGCCCGTCCCGGAGCCGTCATCTGTCGCTGCTGATGTACTGCATAACCCCCGAAAAGTGATGGAAGGAAACTCCTCCTCCATCATCACCCTCCATTCACTCAAGGTTCCAGAGATCTCTTTCGCAGTCACATCCTTCCTCAATAAAATGGGAATGATTTTCTCTGCTCGCGATCCCCGAAACCCGTTCAAACTGTGGTGCGAAAACCGACAGACAGGCCATGGCGAGTTTCCATTGCTCGCGCTCACTGTGGAGGTGGTGGAGATATGTTTTGGCCATCGCGAGCGAGGGGCTCCGCCCCCCTCTCTGTTTGGCTTGGAGTGCCGGCGGATATGCGGGGGCTCATGGGTTGTTTTCCGCCGCATGATGACGCTGCTCAACAGACACATTTCGGAGTTGTATGAAGAACCGCAGCTGCCCGATGCTTAGAGTTATTACGGAAAGCCTGGAATGTTTCCCGACCCATCGCAGGGGTCCCGATGCTGCCTGCCTATATCTCAAGGCTCCCTTAAATCATTTATTTAGACCGGACCCACCCACAGAGGGTTATCGATTTCGATGGCATTGCGGCCTTCAGGCCCCAAGCGAAACCCTCTACTTTGAAAGGCATGACTCCGAAAGAATTGCTGCACCTCGGTAGCGCCCAGGTTTTTTGCCTACAAATAAGATGGAGGGAACAGGACACGATCCAATAAAGTCAAAAGCCCGTTAAAAACATCGGATAAGGTAAATGGACAGGAGAAAAATTGGGGTCAATACATACCTTGGCAAGGAACAGAGTGCGATCGATGGAAAGCACCCTGGGCATTGAGATTGGGGACGAACTATAGCGATGCTGGTAGTAAGCAAGAGTCTCTCGCACGAGCTCTTGTAGCGTAAAAAGGAGCAGCTGCTCTACATCTCGACCAGAGGAGAGGTAATAAGAAAAGGTGCGCTGGAGTCTCTTTGAGACGGCATACTTTTGGGAGGAAATAAATGACTCCAGCATCATGCGAATGGCCGTATTGACGTCCACGGGAAGGATTTCTTCGCGCAAGTGCATGCGGGCATGTGCCTCTGCCATGCGCACCATAGACTCGACGTGGCGGACCGTCATCGGGATGCCACCTGTTGCAATGGACTCTTTTCGCAGCTCTGCATAAACACGAGCAATTTTCTCGGACTCCACTGACGAACGCAGCATTGGGAACACACGGCTCTTGGCAAAGATTAGGTACTTGCGCAGCATCTCCTGGCTTAAAACGTGCTAGAAATAACAAGCGATGCGGCAAACCTTTTCCTCGGTGCCCTGGTCAAGGGCGGCCGATGGCTGATTTTCCTTTTTGCCCCGGTTTTGGTCAGGATGCGACCTGTCGTGGCTTTCAACCACAAAAGATGCCAATCTGGAATCATTTTCCACATCGACAACATCTTTGACCACGCACAGAATATCAAAGCGGGAGAGAATCGGTTCGGAAAGATCCACATTCTGCCCAAAGCTCAGCGAAGCGTTATAGCGACCGCGCAGCGGATTTGCAGCCGAAATGACGGAACATCTTGCTTGAAGCGAGGTGACAATGCCCGCCTTTGAAATGGAGATCGACTGCTGTTCCATAGCCTCGTGGATGGAAGTACGATCTGCATCGTTCATCTTGTCAAACTCGTCTATCAGGCATATGCCCTTGTCTGCCAGCACTAGGGAGCCGCCCTCCAACGTCCATTCTCTCGTTGCCGGGTCCTTGCGCACGGAGGCTGTCAGACCGACGGCAGAAGCCCCCTGCCCCGTGGCATAGACAGAGCGCGGTGCGATGCCATTTACGTATTTCAAAAACTGCGACTTTGCTGTGCCGGGATCGCCTAACATCAACAGATTGATGTCGCCCCTTAAGCGAATTCTGCCTCTTTGCAAAGACTTGGGGATGCCCCCAAACATGGCAAGCGCAATGGCCATCTTGATGTTCTCATGGCCATAAATGGAGGGTGCAATGGCATTTACGATCTTGCGCCCAATATTTGGGTCTGTGCCAAGAAGCCTGATCTTCTGGATCTCATCCTCCGTCAGAAGGATCAGATCTGAGCCGGGCGAATCTCCGCTCCGCTTTTGAACAACGTTTGCCTCAATGACGGTCGAAAAGACCGGGAAGCCGTGTTTTGCGTTCAACTGGTACGAGTAATTGTATGCATAAATGCCTGTCAGATCAACCTCGTCTCCCGGGCGAACAGAATCGATCAGGTCAGATAGGAAAATCACGTCTTTGGAACGCGGGAGTCTGCCAGCAGGCACACTGCCAGGTACCTCCTGCAGTGTAATGAGCTGATAATTGCGATAGACGGTCAGCGACTCGTTGATGCGGAAGGGACCCCGAGAGTCGCAAACGGTACACGCATTGATTTTGAGCTCCGTGGACAGATCCTGAGTGAACGGCCCCAGCGTTGCGCCGCATTTGACACAGTCCATTTTGACCAGCTTCAGCTGCGGAAAGACTGAAGAGCGTCTGGTGACGACCCCCAAAATGCGGACCAGTCCGTTCAAATGGGATCTGCGTAAATCGCGAATACTTTCGATCGAAGGTAGGTCGGTGATGCGGACACGCAGCTCCTGCCTGATGCGATCATATTCGGGGAAATGCTCCAACACCACCCGCATCGTCACATCATCCATAATTTTAAGCACCTCTCTCGGGGCAGCGAGAAGCAGCCTGGTCAGCAGGGGTGCTGCCTCTGCCAGGTGCAGGTAAGACAGATGAAGCGATTCTGAATTTGTTGCGCACATTTCCCGGATGCGCATAGAATAGACAGAACGGCCCTCGGCATCCAGAAAAGTGGTCAACAAGGTGCGATAGTCCCGTGCGGCTCTTCGGCGACAAGAATCAAGCCCAATCAAATCGCGAAGCGAATAGGGACTCGACGAAGAGGCAACCGGGGTGCCCGTGCTGCCAGAATCCACGGCCCCCGTTGTTAAGAGGTCCGAAAAAATGGCATCTTCCTCTTTTTCGTGCAAAATGTCGGTGGCAGTCCCAAAGTCGGCAAGAAATCCATCAGCTAGAAAAGAAAAATTGTGGAAAACCTTCTTTGGAAAGCAAAAGCTGGCGGTGGGCCCTCTTGCTCTCAAAAGGTAGCGTCTTCAGGCCATCCCTGTCAGTTTCGCTGTCCGGGTCTTGGCGATCGGGGATGTCCTCCAAAGAGGAGGGAAGGAACATGTCCGGAATTCGAGATTGGCGCTTCAGCCTTTCCAAATTTCGCTGGTCCAGCTGCGCATCAATTGCAAGGCGTTCTGACAATGGGATCGGTGCATAGTCGGTCTCGTCATCCAACTGCGAAGAGGAGTAGTTGTCCAGATGTGGCATCTCTGCGTAATCCCTTGCAAATATGAAAACAAAGCTACCTCTCCATGTGTTCGCCGAATAAATCCTCGCCTTCGTCAGAGTCTCGCTCAACAATACGTCTTTCGCGTTCGAAAAACTCGGCCCTGCTTTGATTGACATGTATGTGTGCATCTTCTCCATCATCACTGTCATCGGTGTCTTGATCGCCCTCCATTCGTGGCGGTGTAAAAGACTCCTCATCGTCAAAAGGATCGATCTGATCATTCTCTGGCCCTCTTCCAAGATCAGATGCCCGAACTAGGCGCCTTTTTCTGTGCTCATCCTAAATTTGGAAATGCAAGCATACCGGAGAAGAAGAAGTCGATGCATTAGCGCCCATTTACCGGTTGCAATATATCGGGTAATGATTTATTGATTAAATTGCAATCGAATTTATTTCAAATTATGCACGGCGTTGAGCATTTTAATTTATTTTAATTAAATTGGCCAAATTTACAAATGCTCTTCAAGCGCCTTTTGCCTGCTGCCAGAGTCATTGGTGTCAGATGGAACAGTGGCTCGAAAAAGGGAATCTTTTCCGAGATCCTTGATTCCGTCAGAAATGAAGTGTCAAAAGATGACGAGCTTCAAGCCTCCCTCACAAGGATGGAGGCACGTTTGACAGACGTCAAGCAAAATCCGGCATTGAGGGCCGTTAAGGATGCCACCAAAACCCTTCTCTCGAAAAACGCGCATCTTGTAAATGAACTCTCCCGTCTTCAAAAGAAGGGAGACGAGCTCATTATTAGCAGGCTTGGCCGGCGACGGGCAAAAAAGAGCACCTTGGGCGCTAGCCCTTCCACACCCCCCGCCTCGATGGCTAGCAAAGTTTTGGACGCCACAAGAGAAACCGTTTCAGAATCCAAAATCATCAAAAATTTCAGCCGTTCCGTCAGCAGCGTCCAATCGACACTGGTTGATGAAACGGACTCTTATCTTTATGGCGGGTTTTCTCATCGCGAACTGCGTCGCCATGCCGTAGCAAAAAGGAAGAGCCCCAATTCTGCGGGCTCTAAACTGCCAATAGTGGAGGAGAATCCAGATGCTGGTACAGCTCTTTCTATATCTGAACAGGTGTCGACCATCAAGGGGCGCGTCTCCAACGCACTTTCCACGGCTTGGAGCAACCTTTGCCAACAAAATCCGGTCATCAAAAAGGCCTTTGAAGTACGCCGCTCGTATGAGGAATCGAACAATATTTTTGTTTTCCTTGCTCGCTCGCTCACGTCAACGGTGTCCAGCCCCTTCAAGTCTTTCCTGTTCAAAGAGTCTGAAACGGCCCAGGTTGTAAAAGAGATTCGGCAAATGGATCCTTCCTTTTCAGTGGAGAGCTTTCTTGCGGAGGCAACCAAGGTTATCATTCCCGATATCTTAGAGGCAATAATTTTACTGGACCGGCCTGCCCTGAAGTCTTGGTGTTCAGAATCCCTTTTTGCGGCCCTTTCTGCAACGCTGTCTCCTCACCTGATTGGGGAGGGCCAAATTTTAGATCTCAGACACGTAGATCTGGTTACGGCGAAAATCTCCAATGACCTTCCCATTTTGGTTGTTTCCTTTTCCACGCAGCAGATATCTTGCATAAAAAACTCGATTACTGGAGAAGTTTCTCGAGGTTCCCTAGATTCGATCGAGTCCGTGTTTTACATGTGGGCCCTCGCAAAGACCCCAGATGTTGATCCACTGACCGGCGGGTGGAGGCTGATTGAGATGAGCGCCAGGGATGCCCGCTCTGGATTCTGACACATATTTATGCTACATAGACATCCTGTTAATAAATTTGAGATTTTAGCCTCGCTTTGAAGACACTGCACATGTTGGGCGCTTGAAGCTTGTGATGGCTTCACTTTAGCCCAACCCTAGCCTGGCCGCGATAAATTAATTTGAAACTTTACGCTGATAATCCTAGTCGGGTTAGGGTTAAAAAGTAGCTGGTTTATTGAAGCGGAATGTCAATACGAACCTGGCACTTGTCATAATTTTTTGTTCAAACGAAGAATCAGGGTAAGGCACACGCCCAAATCTAAAATCAAGTCCAAGCTTGGGGGCTTGAGATATATTTTGCTCCATTATTTTCTTGGCTTCTTTGATAATCTCAATACCATCAACCGTAGTCTTATCCTCTTGATAAAAAGGAGCCCTTGAGGCAAAACTCGAGGTGCAAGAATTTAGACAATTTTTTTCTTTTCCATGAATAACTGCAAGTTTTTTGAGAGATCGCCAATCCCACAGGCGCTCCGCACAATTTAGCATATTCGATATTGTTCCCATCTTTTCTGAAATAAAAGCCTGCGTTTTAAGACTCGAAAATTGAATATTTCAAAGTTGTAAGTTGGACGACGACCAAACAGGCACATTCCTTGGACAATTCTGCTCCATTTGTGTGTTCAATACTTTTTTGAAAGCTGTAAAAGAGCTCCCAACAATATCGTGTGCATCTACATGTATGTGCAGATGTTTGAAAATAGGAGAATAAACGTTTTTCAAACCGCAAGGAAGAATAAATACTTTTGCATCCCCGTTATCAAGGCTTTTAAACAAGTGTACTTTGGATTAGGTCTACGTTCGATAAGCGTACGTTGAATACAGATAATTTCGGTAAGCAAGTCTTCAATGGGCATATTTTTGATACTGCTACCTTGGAGAGCGATAATTTTCCAAACTACAACATCGGCATCGAGCGAGAACATCGAGCTCAGTAATTACTGAAATGGCCTATTAAACTCGGAAAGCTCAGCCCTAACGCACTATTTTGAATCAGGTGCAATTTAAAAACACCGAACTTTGCCACGCATGTGGAAGCGATTGGCTCCACAAATCCCCCCACATGACGCCAATTTGATGGTGGCCAGTCAGGGCACCAAGGTTTTCCGCCAGCCTCGTTTAACCCCAACCCAAGTTGATGCCTTGATGTCGATTACAAACGGCCAAAGCAGTGTCATCGTTATGATTAGTGTTTATTAGCGGCATATCTTATTAAATAATAATCACTGGTAAGTTTACAGAAAGTACTTAAAGTACTCGTAGGTTGTCCAGCAAATTGCCGTAGAAGGCATGTGTACAAGGATTCTTGGAACGATTCCTTTGATAAATCCTGCGGGTCCTGCTGATCGCCAAACCCGGCCAACGGCATCAATGATACCTGCAATCGGAGCTTCAGAAGGATTCCGCGCAACCAGCGTCCTTGTCTGTAAGATTGTCTTTATCACGTCTAGAGGCGTAGTTACTGCGGATGCGGCAGCCCCCGCAACCGCACCGGCAATGACGTGCGATTTGGGAGAGTACTGATGTGTCGGGTTAAATATATCGTGGATTTGCTCGTAAACGCTAAATTGGATAGCCTGGAATGGAATGTTTAGCGCCAGAGTAACAGGATACGAAACATAGAGAGACAAAATGCCTTCGTTCCGCACAATTCCCAGTGCCGTGGAGAGAAACGATGTGGACGTAGATGCAGATGTGCTTACCGAGAGCGCCTGCATTCTTTGCTTGATCACATCAAACGGATTCATAAGGGCATCTGAGGCCATGGTGGCCAGGGAGCCACAAACGCCTGTCTTTACAACCAAGGGAACGGAAGGGGGGAGAAATGTATCCAAAGTCCTTCTGGACTCCTCGTATGTTGCAAAGTAGAAGGCATGTGCTGGACCAGCACCCATTATCACAGAAATAACTCCCTTCCAAAGACGCTGGTTAGCAATCCCGCTTTTCAAAGACGATATGGAGCAAGAACCTCGCGTGGTACACACATTTGGAACAAGGGAGACAAGTGAGCTCATTTGCATTCGGGTCTATGGCATAAAGACGCTAACCCAACCTTAATGGTGTCTATCGGAAAAAACAGCGAATGCTCGGCGATGCCTGCAAAGGCTCCGGCCAGCATGTGAGTCGAAAATGACGAGTTTCTTGGCAAAGACTCGTAAAGGTCATCCTCATGCACAGCCATTTAAAATTAAAAATTCGGCCATAAATTTTTTAAAATCCAAGCCAATGGCCGATTCCAGCTCCTCCACCATTGTGGCTACCTTAGCGCGCACCGCGGCGTTGGGAACAAGGTATGGTGGGGGCACATACATCCCCCCTGCACGCCTTGCAATCATGCAGCGAGAGGAGCTAAATGATGCTTTGCGCTCTGGAGATGCAACAAAGGCCAGCGATGCTCACCAAAGAGTCTCCTGGGATGCGCTTAAAAAGTCGCTCAATGGCCTCATCAACAAGGTAGCATGTTTCGGCTTATCGCTAGGTGAACACTGCAAATATCAAGAACATTGTGATTGAGCTTTTTTCTGAAAACCTCATACGTGGTCGCGGGCTTTTTGTCCGGTCCCTGCTGAAGGCCCAGTCTGCCTCTCTCCCATTTACCCATGTTTTTGCAGCGCTTATTTCCATCATCAACTCGAAGATTCCAATTATCGGCGAGCTGCTCCTTTCGCGGCTCATTCTGCAGTTCCGAAGATCATTTCGACGCAATGACAAGGTAAGTAGTGCTCGCCAATCAACCTTCCCCTCAGATGCAGTGCTTGGCCTCCATTAAATTTCTTGCTCATCTTGTGAACCACCAGGTTGCGCACGAAGTATTGGCTTTGGAGCTTCTGACGCTTTTGCTGGAAAACCCGACGGATGATTCTGTCGAAATTGCTGTTGGCTTCATCCGCGAATGCGGTGCACATTTGACCGATGTGGCTTCGAAAGCGACAAATGCCATTTTCGAACGCTTCAGGGCCATTTTGCTGGAGGCTCAGGTGGATGTCCGTATTCAATGGATGATCCAGGTCCTTTTTCAGATCAGAAAGGACAAGTTCAAGGTGACCTTGTGTGAAGGTTTATTTTTAGGACAACATTCCAATCGCACAAGAGCTTGATTTGGTTGAAGAAGAGGACAGGATCACGCATCTTTTATCGCTCGACGACGATATCCAGGTGGACGATTCCCTGGTTATCTTCAGATATGATGACGATTTTGAAGAGAACGAAAAGAAATATTGCGCAATAAGGGAGGACATTTTGGGCGAGGTTGAGGATCCATCTCGACTTGACTCCGCAGCGGAGGAGCAACACCCACAAGAAGAGCCTTTGGATCTGAAGGCAGCTATGCCCGCTCTTGTCATCCGTGACAAGACCAATACTAACATCATCAATTTAAGAAAGGCGGTTTATTTAACTGTCATGTCATCTCTTGAGTTTGAAGAATGTTGCCACAAACTGTTGAAGCTTGCAGTTCCGGAGGGCCTTGAGATTGAGGTCTCAAACATGATCATTGAATGCTGTTCGCAAGAAAAGGCCTTCACCAAATTCTACGGGCTGCTATCGGAAAGATTTTGCAAGCTAAACCAGTCTTGGATGGCCCATTTCGAGGCGTCTTTTGTGGAAACCTACACAACCATTCACCGGCTGGAAACAAACAAAATACGGAATATTGCGTACTTGTTTTCCCACATCTTGGCAACGGACGCCATTTCTTGGAACGTTTTCAACTGTATAAAGCTAACAGAGGAGGACACCACATCTGCTGGGCGTATCTTCATCAAGTTCCTATTGCAGGAGCTCTCGTTGGAATTGGGGCCCTTGAAGCTGAAATCCCGCTTTTTCCCAAAACCCGTTGCCCCCGACCAATTTGCCGTGGAGCCTGTGTTTGAGGGTCTTTTTCCAAAGGAAGACCCGCGAAATACCAGATTTGCCATCAACTTTTATACGGCCATCAATTTAGGCCAGCTTACCGATGAAATGCGCGCATATTTGAAATGGCTTATGGATATTGCAGCCAAGGAAATTTAAATGCGCAGGCCCATAGAGCTCACCTCCAAAGAAGCCAGCCAGCCAGCCAGCCACTTGGCCAGCCAACCAATCAACGTAGCAACAAAATAAATTCATTTGGAAATTTATTTTGCAATTTACAACATTTGTCTCTGTGAATAAGCCTTGAAAGCAGCCCTGGCCTGCTTGAGAAACAAATAAAAGTTCCTGTGCTGATTCAGATGATGCAGAATTGCAGATGTCTCTGTTTCTGGGATCGAGCACTCCGTCACTACAGGTGTTAGCAAACGAAACAGCCGCACCTTGGTAATCCTCAGCACTGACATCAACAACGATAAAGAACTGCCTTGACCAGTCATTGGGGTCCACATTTGCAAAGCTAAACTTCATTAAATCCTCTAAACAATTAGCAACCATTCCCTCCATAAACTAACTTTTGACCACTTCGATGTCCAGCGCCAAAATGGATCTGAAAAATTCGGCCTCTGGCTTTTCCCTGGCTAGCTGATGCACCTGGGCCTGCAATCGCAGGCTTTTTACTACAACGATAAAGAAAATGCTAGCTACATTCTCTCTCTTTTTTTAACTTTATCGAAACTTCGTCGATCTTTTTGTGTATTTCTGAAAGGTGCTGAGATATTTTGTTTTTCTGCTCCGTGAGCTCATCGATACTTTGAATGGCAATTGAAACTTCAGACTGTTCGTTTTCAAGCTCTAATCTTAAATGACAAGATAGAATACCCTTGTGGATCTTTTTCTTTTGTGCTGAACAGATACGGAACTGCTCTTTGAACTGCTCAATGCTGCCTAAAAATTATTCCACAAATCCAGTACCAGAGTTTTCGGACAAAATCTGCGAATATGACGACAGTTCTGACGACAGTGATTGCCTTTTTTGAATAAAAAAGTCGTTAAACAAGCTACCAGCCTCTGCGAGCTCAGATCGAATTTCGGAAGAAATTTCTGCTATCTGGGATAGCATTGAAGATGGATTCAAAAAGAGCATCGATGAATCGGGACTGAACGGATCAATATCTCTTGCCCTGACTCCAGCGGGAGAACTCGACATTTTAAAATTTTAATTCCAATTAGCAATGATGGAATAGCTTGAAGCTAGGGTTGGGATGGACCGCAATTTAAGCTCCGGGTCCAGAGTAAAGGAGTCTGTGTTAAGCAACGTCGATATGTACACATTTGTCTCTGGCTATTAAACATGAAAGCATAGCTACATATTTACCAAAACTAAAACCATCTCGAATCTCCTGCGATATGATCGCATGGTACCCGTAAAATATTGAAATTTGATTTTAATAGAACATTGGGGATCCTCCCGTTTGGCTAGTAGTTGATGAGCCTGAATTGACTTTTCCATAAGATAGCTCTGCTAATGCCTCAATAAAGGGTTTTCATAGTCTTTGAGTCACCCACAATTGAATTTTCACATCCACCGATCGACAGAGGTGCTCATAGAGGTGAAGTTATTTGCAAGTCATAAAGCAGCCTTATTTTAGTGCGTTTTTAGGATTCGGAAGACGCACTGAGAAGCTTAAATCGAGAAACACATTTAGAAGCTTGTTTTGGCGCGAATTAATCCCAGCTTTTTAGCGGAGGCATTCCCAGATGCCTCCGGAGAGGGAAAGCCGAATTCACGCGCATCTTGGTGACTTGAAGGAATAGATTCTACTGGCTCTCGCATCTGTGATACGATGCCTGGTGCATGGCCAGGGCTACCTCGCCTCATTAAAGCATGTGTGCACCAACCAGCATACGCTTGAAAAGTACGACGACAATGCTCGTATGTGATTTTTACTTAGCGGTATTAAATGCGTCGAGTTTATTGTTTAATAAAGCCATTTTGCTGCGTTAATAAAGATGCTGCTAGTGGTTCATTTTCCTCGATCAATTGTAGATTTTCTGGACGTCTTTGAAAGAGATAAAATTATATGCTGATTTCATCTTCTATAGGTTCCATCTTTTCTATAATTTCTGACTTTAGAGTCGATACTTTCAAGTCTAGACTCTGTATTTTCGTGTATTTTCCTTCTAAACCTTCTATTTTTAATGAAAATTCTTGATCTCTATATGTTGGAATGTCTAGAAATACTAGCATATTTGGATCGTCTTGAAGGATTGTATTTTTTAAGCTTTTTCATGCCTTGGGGTTTTTAGAAGTATTAAAGGGATTGTAATATTTCCATCCTGTATAGATGTGGTACGTTTTAGAGCTTCGAAAAGTTGGGTAGGTTTTTGGAAAAATTGATACTTTTTTCGAATATTCCGATTAAAATTTCTCGAGTTTTTTGAAATTCTTTCATTACTTCACATTGAATAATTTGTTGTACACCTTTACACTTTAACCCTATCTGCCCTAATTCACAGCTTAGCGTTTTTTGAGCTTCATCAAAAGCTTCAATTTGTATACTTTCTAGATAATCTAATTGTGTTATATCCCATATGGCTAGTGAAACTTCATTAGCTTTTGCATGATCTTGAATCTTTTTCCATTTTTCAAGCCATTCATACATAGTCGATTTAGATAATTTACTGCAATACTCATATTTTTTAACCGACACAAATAACTTTATTTAAATATGCCACATGTGCGTATAGTTGCAGCACGATCGCTACATTGTCTCTCTAGCACGGAAAGTAACCTTAAACTATTCAATTATCGCAGCTGGCAAATTTTGAACAGATGACTTTGAAAAATTTCCAAGTTTTAAGAGTCTGATTTTAACGCACTCAAAAGTATCGCAGGTATAAAATTGAACAAAACCGACCTTGGGTCTTAAGTTCGATTTATACCCATAGGGTTAGCTTTTATGGGGCATCTTCTACCTCTCATTTTTGATATTTAGCTTAATTAAATGTTGGACATTGTCCCCAGCATATGTCAGAACAAGCACTAGCACTATAATCCCCTCCCGAAATGATCACGATCGCTATATGAGCAGTAAAGAGCATGATAAACTATCCACTCAATAAAATCTGACGAAGCAGATGCCTCGATAATCAATAGCACTCCTTTAATTACTTTTACCTTGCAATTCTAGATGCAAAGTTATCGTACTTCTTCAATACAATCATAAATAAAGAATGTATTCAAAGTTAACTCGAATACTCTCAGAAGACGAAACATCAAGAAACCTGATAGCTGCTGCGTCAGAAGTCAAAAGGCAGAAGGCCCTAGCGACTTACGCAGCAGCGAGAAGCCAGGATTTTTACAAGCCAAACAACACGAAGCAAGGATTGTTTTGCAATCTTTATTTGGAGAACCACATCCGGATATGCCCGTCTGGGCATTAAGGATGCAGGAAACGTTAATAGCCGTGCAAGAGGAGCTTTCGCAGCCATAGCGTTGCCCATTGCATTTAAGCGGCTATGTTAGGGACAAAATGTCGACTGAAGCACAAAATACCCCCTAACAGGATACTTGTACAATTTAAGTTTAGAAGAAGCGATCGTTAGATCTCCCCGCATCTTCAATCAAGTCGAGGGATTATGCGGGGTTCTGCTTTTATTTATAACCAAAGTTAATCAATGCAGATTTGCTCTCGGTTGTGAAGTTTATCAAATCACCAGTAAATAATCAAAGCTTAAACCAAATAAAATAAGTATGCAAAAATGATCGCAATAATGATTTTAAAATTAAAATATCGTAGCTATTGTAAGCTAAAAGTTACTGTATTTGGATTGGTAGGGTTAGGGTTAGGATGTGTGATATGGGCATTTAAACATTAGTTATTTAATTGGGCCTCGTGATATGGGAAATATATAATGTGGACCAACATGCAGTTTCAATGAAATTAATTTTAGCCCAATCCCAACCCTAGCCCAAACATCGCTGACTAATTTGGTGGAATCTTGTGTTATTTATGTTTGTTTATATTTTCAAATCGAAAAGTGATTTCGCACACAAAAGGCACGCCTCTCGTTGGTTAATATCCCATTTATTTGTTGTTGTTTTGTTTATCCATTTCCCTCACTACAAGCATGTCATCTTAACAACATGAAAAGAATAAATAGCGAATGTTGTATTGAAAAGTATACAACCATGATTCCAAAGCGAATAACAGCTCTTCTTTTCTGTGTATGCTTAGCTTTATTTTCGGCCTCATCTGTGATGTCGATAAAACCTGGTATCTACTTTGCAAACATGACCTCATCGATTTCTAATGGAACAACTGCTCCGTTCATTATACACGCAAGCAAAGGTCTTGATGTTAATGTCACTGCTTTGGGCGGAATATATCAAGATTCTTCTATTTTTGTGGAATGGGATCATTTTTCTGGTCATGATAGCTATGAAGTTATATTTTCTCTCAAAAGTTTAGCTAATCCGGATCAAATTTTTCCCGAATTGAAAAGCAAAGATACTGGAAATGCGACTATTTTGTTGAAAGAGTATGGTTCTTTTGAGCCAGGAATGTATGTCATCCTTGTCTCCAATGCCCTCGGCCAAGGTTTATCAAATCCATTTATCGTTCTCACCCCTAATCTCCTTTCTGTTAAGACAGATACGGATAAGGTTTCCACTGGCCAGTCTTTGGGTCTTTCTTGGACTCCATTCAACACTTCTGATACTTTGAGCATATCTCTTATCCACGTCTCAAGCGGTTCTGAAGATATTATTGCTACAGACCTTCCTGATACTGGAGCTACCAGTCTTGAGTTTTCATATCCACCTGGTATTTACGAATTGAAATTAGTATCCTCCCTTGGAATTGGTTTCTCAAACCGTTTTGCTATTGCCACCGAATCTAACACGATCGTTGTCACAGCTACTCCAAACAACATTTCCTCAATCAATGGTTTCACAACTGTCGCATGGGGACCATTCGATCAGGCTGAGAAATTCGTAAACCTAACCCTAACCGGGAAGGATGGACTCGCTTATAAGAATGTGTCTAATGTG